TTCAATTTTCCATATCCACAGCTTGGATTAGAATTGAATTAGCCTGGTCGATCAATAGAGTTACTTCAGTACATAATATTGTGGCAGATTTATTATGCTATATATATATATATAAGTAAATATACGCGTGAAAATGTATGGTTCCAACTTGTGGTTTAAAAAGCGGGGCTTAACAGAATGGTAAGAAAACTGGAGCATAACTTAATGGGCTAAAAGTACAATGTACTGAAATGGCAGAATTTGAGTACTAGTTTCGCATGTGTAGTTGTTTGAGTTCATTTTAGGGCAACGGTAAATAACGAATCTATAACATATCGCATATATACGTAGCGCGTACTATTGAAAAGATAAGGTTATATTTCACAACAAACGGTGGAAAGTTCATGCCCTAATAGATACATACGCTAAGTACACAATCAACAAGGATTATCTACGACCGGGCGGCAAATTGGACTTGTGGATAGGCTTTTTTGAAGTTAAATCTCAGTTTTCATCTCACGGACTCCACGTTCAGACATTGAATCCTTGTGTATTCGTTGTTAGGGCGTGCCGCAGTTCCACTGACACGATTGTTAAATTTTTAATCATATTTTTAATTTTCAAACCTAAACGCCATAAATGGATAAATAACTATTAGTGTCTTTTCATATCACTTTTAAGCAAAATTTTGGCAGTAGCTGAAGTGTAAGAAAATAGCACCATATAAAGGATTTCGTACCAGTGTGTCTTTGTATCCCAAAATTAAAGGTTATACGTATAGTATTTAAGAAAACATATAGGCAATATTCAATTAAACAAATCTTTCGTGATATTTTCTTAAAAAACAAGCAGCAATTAGCCCATTGCCACCTCAGTAGGTATTAATACTGCTGACAATAGGCACTGGTAAATACTCAAACATATCCAGCCTTAATAACAATAATAAGCAAACTGCCAATGCCAAGATATGACGAACGGAACTAAATAAAAGTCACATGTTAAATATCTGATAATTATCATAGGACGTCTATTATATTTTTAACTCGATAGTCTACATGTATTTGATTACTTTTTCATGTTAAAGATTGCTGTACTGCTTTTCTATGTAGGTTCGCTAATTGTCTTCTCAGATAATAGAGATACATATCTGCTGTTTAATACTAGATGAATTAGCTGATGAAACGGATGGTCTCAAATTATGAATGATCCTAAAAGTAAGGTGATGTATCAAATCGTATAGTATTAAAATGGCATTTAAACAAATTGATCAAACACGACGAAATATGTCATGTTGCATAACCTGCAGAAAAGTTGTAGGTACGACGAAACTCGCTCTGTTTGGTCAACCGACGGTTATCGATAAGATAAAAGATGTCATGTCCAAGCCTAGATGTGATGAGCTCACGGAAAGTAGTGCAATATGTACTGATAAATTTAATTGGATATATCGACAGCTTGGATAGAATTGAACGATCAATAGTGTTAGATCAGTGCATAATATTCGAAATCAATAGTGTTACATCAGTATATAATATTTTAGCCGATTTATTGTGATATAAGTCAATATACGCTTGAAAATAGACAAACTATTAAGGTTGTGTGGTTTCGACTTGTGGTTTGAAACGCAGGGCATATCAACAAGATACCAAAGCTGAAAAAGAGCTTAATGGGGTAATAATGCAATGCACTGAAATAGTAGAATTTGAGAACTGGTTTCGTATGTCCAGTGGTTTATGTTCGCTTTAGAGTAACGGTCATTGCAGATATCAATGGCATAAATAACAAATCTATAACATATCGCATATATACGTAGCGGGTACCATTCAAAAGATGGGGTTATATTTCACAACAAACGGTCAATCAACATTGATTATCTACGACCGAGCGGTAAATTGTACTTTGTGGATAGGCTTTTTGGGCGTTAAATCTCACTTCCTGACCCACGGACACCCTCGGGCTGACCTTTCGACATATTCGTTGTTAGGGCGTGCCTCAAGTTCCGCTGATACGACCGTTCAATTTTTCTCACATTTTCAAGTCTTAACATCACTTTTGGCCTGTTGAAACCACACAACCTCAATAGTTTGTCTATTTTCAGGCGTATATTTACTTATAGCATAATAAATCTGCTACAATATTATGTATTGAAGTAACTCTATTGATCGTCCAGGCTAATATAATTCTAATCCAAGCTGTGGATATGGAAAATTAAACCTATCAGTGCATATTGCAGTACTTTCCGCGAGCTCATCGCATCTAGGTTAAGGCATGACGTCTTTGGTTGCACTTACCCATGTTTGTCGTTAATCGGTAAGTTCTGACGACTTCAAGAATACCACTCCTGGCCCCGTCCAATGGTAAACAAGTGAGCTTTTCAAAAAACTTAACAAAAGAACGAAATACGGTAGATTCATTGAATCTATTAAATGCTGTTATTGCTTTTTGGACAAACAGTTTGTCCGATATTTTTTTGAAAATTGATTCACTAGTCATAAATGATTCTATGCTATGATATTTTTTGATATATACAAAACACTGTTCTACATATAAAATTCAGTAAATCAAAGATGCGTACTACGTGTTCGCAGTAGACCAAACAATATCTCACTCGCATCCGCTTGAGTATACCATATATTCATTATACAGAGTGGCGCATCGAAAACGAAATAGTCGCATTTACTGGCAGCTCAGTTTTTTTTTTGAAAAATGCTAAGACCCGTCGATTTTGTTTTCCAGGGGCACACAGGTTTGATAAAAAATCACATTAGCACGTACAGCCCCTAAGCGGGGGTGACACCACCCCCAAAATCTTAAATGGAAAGGGGGGTCGAGTGATACCTTATTTTAAAAGTCTTTCAATTCCCTTTATAATGATATAAAATTAATGTACTTCAGTTCAGTAGTTTTGAAGATTTATTGATTTAAAGCTTAAATAAAACTAATACATCATCATTAGTGGAGATCAATACATTTGGCAGCAAAGTAATTTAAAAATGAAGAATGAACTGACCCGTTAGGCAAGTAAATGTTGAAAATGGCCACCATGACTCTCCATGCAATAATAAAGATTTTGCTCAAAACGTTGCCGCACATTTTGCAATATTTGAGAAGTAATTTGAAGGCACTCATTCACAATTCTTTGTCGCAAGTCTTCTAATGATGTTGGCTGAGTAGCATAGATTTTGCTTTTTAAATGGGGTTGGGACCCGGGAACCAGGCCATCACGCGGTGGTATATGGGAAGGTCTCCAAAGCTCATCGTAATGAGCCTTGCGCCTTCCCACGGCCGCAGATCCCCCACGTGGGCCTCCAACCATGCTCTAGAGGATTCGCACTCGCAGACAAAGATGGCTGCCCCTCGAGAGAGGTAGCAGTCTATGTACCTGGGAAGGGCCGCCTCATCTGGGAGCCCATCTATCAGCACACTGACCGCCTCTTGAACCTGCTGCACCTGTACGTCGGTAAGTTGAGTCCCAGGATAACCGTCGGACACGACAGCCACCCTGAGACCCGCTTGTGACGCTCGCGCATAGCTAATTTGCGCATGCGTCGCAGTGCGAGGCTTCTTCCGCAAGGATGCGCCTTCCGGTGTCCCACCGGCAGACCTCTGCCGCTTCCCGTCGCCAGGCCGCCTCTCTCCGCTTCCGAGCCCTTTTCCTGTCGGAACCTAGCCGAGACTTCTTCTTAATTTTTAGAGAGCCCACCCTTTCCGCTAGCTCTATCGCTAAGCTTCTGACAGATTCCTCTGTGAGAGTACGATCAGGGTCCCCTGGTGAGGGGCCGCCTGGATGTTTGGGGTCCCCTGTTGAGGGTCCACCCGGATGTTCGGAGTCCCCCGTAGGGGGGACTTCGGGGTTTTTATAATTTTTATTGGGTTCCATATTGTTCCCACGAGTATAGGGGAAGTGGTGGTCGACGTCCGCGGTGCCCCTACACGGACGCAAGGCTGGATACTCTGGGAGGTCGCCCGGTGTCCCAGAGGCTCCGTTTAAGACGGTGCATCCCCACCGCCACGCACCCCTCGGCACGGAATCGCTTAACACCTTGGGTTGGGTAAAGTACCATTGCCCATGATGACCGTTGAGCTGCAGGCGTCCCAGATATACATCCGAGACACCTGTGGCTCATCGAATCATTCGATTGGCCGGGCTACCGGCTTTCCGGCGGGTCTCCTCAAAAACTGATCGAGGCGGTCCACCGCAAGACCGGCACCCCGTTGCCCCTCCTACACGGTCGCATACGGTTCAGCGCCCAAGGCCGCCCCGCAGAACGAACTCTAGGACGTACGGGTTGGATTTTGTAGGAGTTCACCCATATTTCTCCGTTATAAAACCAGGTCTTCTGCTTACCCCATTTCTGCACGGCCTTTTGATACAGGTTATATCGAGCAGGTGACATATCTTCAGTAAGAGTTATTCCTGAACCTTTCAGCAACTTCCTGTTTCTTAGAAGCTTCATTTTCAGGTTATGAGAATTTACAGTAAACAAGACAGAACGCTGTTCGTTCTTTTTTCTTCCTAACCAAAAACAATTTTCAATATTCTCTACCAAAACTCGAGTTTTCAGGTTATCTTCGCATAAGGTAAGCACCTGCTCCAGGCCACTTGTACCATGTGATTCCTTCATGCCAACTATTCTAAAAGATTTCCGACGTGCATGTTGTTGAAATTTTTCCAAATCACACTCTAGTTTATTCTTAGCATGTCTCAGGTCCACTATTTGTTTTTCTAGCTCGACCATTTTTTGTTGAGATTCCTTTATGCCCAGTTTCTGTTCGATTGTATCAGAAATAAGCGTTAAGAATTTATCATTACTGAGCAATTCTTCAATGGTTTGCTTTATAATTAATTTAACATCGGTCATTTGATCTCGTGTCAATGGCATATTGATTTAGTGTCCACTAACCTTTCAGAGCAGAAGAACCAAATTATTTAATTCCACTTACATTACATGGAGGTTTTTCAGATTTTCCGCAGAGCAACACACAGCACGTCTACTTTCTCACCATGTCTGCTACTGTAGGAAGGCAGGAAGAAAACGTGGAATTATTGGACCATCCTCCATATAGTCCCGATCTAAATCCTAACGATTTCTTTACTTTCCCGAAAATTAAAAACAGACTGCGTGGTCAAAGGTTCCAGTCACTAGAAGAAGCAGTTGACGCATTCAAAAATGCCGTTTTGGATCTGCCAGCAAACGAGTGGAATAAGTGCTTCGAAAATTGGTTCGAAGGCATGCCGATGTGTATTAATCTTCGTGGAGAATACTTCGAAAAACAATAAAGTCATTTAAAACTACCTATCGTGTTGTTCTATTTCCATATGCAAAACTCAAAAGACATCCCTCGTAAACATAAGCCTGATGCTTCCGGCAAAAAGAAGTACCGTATGGTCATTATTTCCGCAAGCTAAATGAAATTACAATAGAGGACAAAAAACCCAGAAACGAGGAAATTTTTGAAAATTTGGGCAAAGCCACGTTAGATCTCGCCCAAGGGTTCCACCAGATACCGATGGACCCCAAATCAGTTGGCAAAACTGCTTTTACCATCGAGAACGGGTATTAGAGTATATCCGTATGCCGTTCGGATTAAGGAATGCGGATGATGAACTCCGTTCAGCTTCCCTACGTATGTAAATTCTGGTTCGTCTACTTAGATGATATTATCATTTTCTGAAAGTCCCTTCAAGAACACATATATCACCTTAAACTAATTTTTCAGACTCTCAGAAAGTACGAACTTCGTATTCAACTCGATAAGACTGAATTTTTACGAAAAGATGTGCCTTTCCTTGGCCACATGATCACTCCTAATGGTATTTTGCCGAATCCAGAAAAAATAAAGGCTATAGAGCATTTCCTTATTCCGAAAACTTTTAAGGAAGTTCAATCTTTTCCAGGTTTAGCAAAGTACTACCATAAGTTCATAAAGGATTTTGCCAAAATATCCAAGCCATTTACCAAACTTTTAAGTAAAGGTAAGAAGATCAATCCCAATAATCATGAATATCTCCAAGCTTTCGATATCATTAAACGAACTCTTTCTAATTTACCGATCTTATCTTACCCAGACTTTTCCAAACAATTTGTATTGACTACCGATACCAGTAACGTCGCTATAGGAAGTGTGTTGTAAAAAAACAATAAGCCCGTCTCATTTCATTCTAGAACCCTCAGTAGTGCTGAACGTAACTACAGTACAATCGAAAAAGAATGTATAGCTATCATCGACTCGTGTAAACATTTCCGTCCATACCTTTTCGGACATAAATTTATTATAGAAACCGATCATAAACCATTAGTTTGGCTTTATGGACTCAAAAAGCCCAATCAACGCATAATCCGCTGGAAATTAGAGCATAAGATTTTGATATCAGATACAGAAAAAGCAAAGGGAATTATGTAGCCGACGCGCTCAGTCGTGTAGATGACAGCGACGATCTCTTATCTACATTACCGCATGTCGCCGAAAACCCGACGCTCAGCGATGATGAACTTCAAGCAATTCTTCAAACACCTAACTACAGTGGCGTAGCGTGCATTGGCGGGGCCCCGTATAAAAAATTGTTTGGGGGCCCTTATATTCTTTGGGGGTAAAGATTTTTCACAAAAGAAAAAAAAATATTGTGAAAAGAAATATTTATTTATCATAACATAATTTAACCATTTTACAAATAAAAATCAAATTTTAAACATTCATTCTCCTTGCCTTTTTTTCGGCAAACTGATTTATTAAATCATTTATGGCTGATGATGATTTTAGTTTTTCTAAAGTTTCTACCTCTATGGACAATAGTGAGAGGTCTGACAGCCGTTCTTGTCCCATCGAAGTTCTTAAGTAATTTTTTATCAGTTTTAATTTTGAAAAACTTCTTTCAGCAGTTGCGGTTGTAACTGGAAGGGTCAAGAATAAAAAGCATGCTGTGATTACCTCGGGAAAACTAGATGCAAGACTATTGAATTTTACTAGCAATAATTCAATGAGTTCTTTAATGGAATAAATTTTTTGAATTTCAGATTTTAAACATGTTTTTAGAGCCTTTAATTGGTCACAAAGATTAACTGAGATGTCTTTACTGTATTTAACGGACAGTTTTCCGGAAGCGATTAATATCTCTTCGTTTGAAGAAGATAGGAGTTTCTCCGGTTGTAATATTTCGAACATACTACTCAGATCGCAAAGGCTCTGAAATCTTTCTTTAGTTTGAGAAATTAATATATCTAAACAGCAATAGTATACATTGACTTTGAAATAGGATTCCGGGTCGGAAATTCTCTCATCTTGTGATAACTCATCAAAAAAACGCTTCGTTATCTTTCGCCTACTGTTTTTAAAAACAGTTGTTACCCCCCACTCTTTTGCTAAATCTTTGGACTCATTTAGCAAACTATTAAATGAAATCTGATTTCTTAATTGGCACAGTCTATTTAAAAGATTACTTAATAAAATACTAGATTTCTGTAAGTCATTATTTTCATGCTGTAGAGCTTTAGAAATAGGATTAATAATTTCAAATAGTGAAGAAAAAATGTAACGAGCACTAAGAAATCATAACTCTCTAAAATATTAATTATATTTTTACATTCTTCACGTTCATCTTTTTTATTTGAAATTAAATTTAGTTGGTACAAAGTTTTCATGATTAGTAAAAAATTTTTCTTTACCGCTAATAAAGCGTCGTTCCTAGAAGACCATCTGGTTGGACATACCTTTTTAAGGGTAATCAAATATTTTTCAGACGGATCGTCACTTAGCATAGCCCAGCGTTTTATACTATTGCCAAAAAAAGTATATACTTTTTCTAAATTATCGAAAAAAGTCGATATTTCACGAACGTGTCTCGCAGCATCGTTTAAAACTAAGTTTAAAGCGTGCGCAGCACAATGAACATAATCGGCATTTGGAGCATGCTCTTTTATTAGGGTTTGTAATCCTCCAAAAATGCCCGACATAACATTTGCTCCATCGTAACCCTGTCCTCTACATTTAGTCAAATCAATTCCATATTCTTTAGTCAAATTTAAAAAGGCAGTTTTCAGACCTGCAGCACTGCAATCGGTTACTGCTATAAATCCTAAAAAGGACTCACAGATTTTTATTTCTTTAGGCACATTATCATCATTTTCTGTAACCGAGATATATCGAAAAACTACAGAAAGTTGGTCAATTTTTGACAAGTCTTGTGTTGTATCCAGAATTATTGTCAGAAATGGAGCTTTTTTCATTTCTGAGATAATATTGTTCCTAACGGTGGTACCAAGCAAACTAATAATTTCGTTTTGAATCGTAGGGCTTAAATAATTTATTTCGCCTTTCGGTTTTAGAAGAAGTTCTTTTAAAGTTGCATCATAGTTAGATAGCAAACGTAAAATTGCCATAAAATTTCCAGAATCAGAATCATGCCCTCTCAAAGATAGATTACAAGATGCTAAAGTAATTATAACATTAATTATACGATGCAGTACATCTCTCCAGAATGTAATTTTACTATTGATTTCACTTTGCAATAGAGTATCGATGGTATTTCCTTGCAACCAATTATTATAAGAGAGTGAGGCATTCATATGCTGCTGTGACTTTTCATGGTCAAGTATAGTTTGCGTAAAATTGCTTCTAACCGAAACACCGTTAACCCAAGCAGAGGAGTACGATTTGTTTTGACGATCTGCTAATAACCAACAGAAGTGACAGTACGGTTTGTTTAAAACGTTAGAATAACATAACCATGGTCTTACAAGTTTTATGCCTGCCTGATTGAAATATGAATAATAATAGGCCGAAAAAGGTCGGTTACTTTCTGAATCTTTTGGAAATGGTCCTTGTGGTTTAAATGGACCCAATTTAAAAATTATTTTTCGTTCGCATTCAGATAAATTGTCACCAAAATTTCCTCTATCTGATGAAATTATATTACAATCTTCAAATATATCAGAATCGTTGACTTGGTGTTCTTCAATTTCTGGATGGACATCCGATGAAGTATGTGCTTGGCTTTCTTCTATTTCCGAATGGATATGTGACGAAGAACGTGCTTCAGAAGAATCTAAAAATAAACGAGTATTTGTTAAAAAATAAATACGAATGCTTTGATACTAAACTAAAAAGAGTTATATATAAATAAATAACTTTACTAAGGGTCACAGTTAGAGAGTGTTCAGTTCAGACGCACACAGACTCTACGCGGATTGTGCTCGTATTAGTAGATACAAAATCACCTGCAGCCCGTCCGTGCGTTACATTACACCTGCGTGCTATTTGAACGCAGCGCGTAGTGTAGTGGCCATACAAAACGAGAACAACCCGAAAGCGAGTCTGCACATCTGAAGTTCTCAACACGCAATTTACGATACGATACAGACTGATAGACAAACAACAAAACAAATTGATCTTATAGATAAGTTAGAGTTTTGGTTTTTTTTTGTTTCGAGGCACGGAACCCTAAAAACAAAATTCACCCTTCGCTACAGGTAAATAATAAACCAACCACGCGTATCTAACCACGCAGATCCACATTAGCGTCGTGTAAAATAGTACTTGTGTAAATTAGTAAGTACTTCGGTTTTTCGAAGAAGTAATTTTACAAATTGTCATTTATTTTTAAACCTTATCCGTTTTAAGATTTTTGCCAAACCAATTTCATGTAAAAGTTTAATTAGTAAGGAGTCTCCAATATCTTTTTTAGATTTTTGGACCAGTAGTTGTGAAAATCGAAGGGGGGGAGACCACTTTTTGTGACGGACAGATTGACAGGCCGAAATTAAAAGATTTCCTTGTTTATCACTACGGACCCCGAATAAATGGGTTGGGTAGTACTTACCTTTCCAATCTAAATCACTCACAGTACCTTGTCTATGAAAAAATGAAGAAATTTTGGGCACTTTTTTTATAACCTCTTCCCTTTTCCGTTTACTTTTTCTTTTCTCAGCACCGCTGGGATAATCTCTTTTCCTTTCACTCATTTCTTTTACAAATCGCTACTAATATTGTTAAACCACCAGAACAATATTGTTTGTACTGAATTACAATGTAATGCACAATTACATAAAACGCGTAAATAAACACTGCACTGCACTCCGTGGTTTAACATCCAATATAGAGTATGTACGTACACGTTCGCGATATCGATTTTATTATTGAGGGATTCCCCGCTGAGTTGCAGATGAAGTAAGTAAAACGGGGAAGTCCCACAGCCCGCCATAACGATGTACAGTGTTGCCAACTTTTGAACGCACGCTTAAGGCGGTATAAAAAGTAATTGCTTTATAGAATTTTGTCATTTGTAAAATAAAATAAATTAGGAAGTTTTTATTTCTTTTTCCTTACACACTTTGGGGGCCCCCGTGGCCCGGGGGCCCCGTATAATTGATACGGCAGATACGGCGGTAGCTACGCCCCTGCCTAACTATGATATTACCTATGCGCGTTCCACGCACACGCTTTATTCTTCGCCTGTAAATCCCGTTAAAAACATAACATTTTCCGAAGATAAGAACTTTTATCATTTTAAGCATCGTATCGACATAATTTATGAAAAGGTATTCGACGTTAAGACTCTCCCGAATAATACTATCAGATGTACCAGATACGGGAACATACTCACCTGATGGTTTTGCTAAAATATTATTGACACACCAATACTCATTATGGGATCTTCTACACAGAGCATACTATTATGGTTGAACTTAATCGCGTTTTAACCAATTATTTTTTAACAAACAAATCACTTTAACTAAAGCCGCATATAAGCTCCTGTATTTAGACAAAGATAAGGCCCTCACTGAAATTTCTTTATATCACTCCCAGACGCACAATGGAATCAACGAAACCCACGATCATTTTAGAAAAATGATTTTCACTCCTGACCTTAGACGCCTAATTACCGACTACATTAATAGATGTGATCTATGTCTCTTAAGCAAATACGAGCGTCACCCTCCAGTTGTTGAACAACAAGGCCCATTCTTAGCCAAAAGTCCATTCGAACATATCTTTCTCGATGTTTACAAAATAGATAAATTTCATTTTCTCACTATAATTGAATCTTTTAGTCGTTATAGTCAAGCATATCTAATTCAGTCTCGTAACAGCATTGAGGTTTTGAAAAAATTCAAACCCTCTCTCCCACCTTAAGTTTCCGAGAGAAATCACTGCTGATCCAGGTGAATAAAATTCAGCCGTAATAAAAGATTATTGTCTAGCCCAGGGCTGTCCAACTTAATCTGGCCCAAGGGTTACTTCAAAAAACATGCAGTTTGGAGGGCCGCATTATAAAATATTTCTATACAACATTATTACTGAGTTTTAATAGGTATATACTATACTATATGGTATACAAAAACAGTTTTTCTATTATTTTTATTTATTCAAAAAATATGAAATTACAAAAAAATCAGTGGGACATTTGAGGATGTTGGTTTTCTAATACTAATGCATCAATATTAACATTAGTATTTGTTGTTGATAAACGAAGTAACTGAGTAAGTGACTTATCAGAGAGGGAACATCTATACTTTGACTTGATAAATTTCATGTTGGAAAAGCTGCTTTCGCAAAGATACGTGCTTCCCATCATTGATCCCATTGTAAGTCCTAAGTTTCGCAAGTTGGGGTATCGTTCTCCTGGCAGTAACTTAAAAAAGTCCAAGCCAGTTTCAGTTCTTCCTTGGTAAAAAGGATCTGATTGCAAATCACACAATTACAGTTGAAGGTCTGCTCTGCTTACGTTCTCAACAGAAATTGTTAGTGGCTGAGTGAAAACTGAAATGTCGCTTTCGATTTTTTTAAAGTCACTAAATCGATTTTTGAATTCTTCTGCAATTGTGTCAATGTATTTTATATGAGGTAAATATGAAACTTCCTCAAAATCCTTCATTTATTCGAAATGTTCTTTACAACTTGGAAAAAATGAAAAATAATTTTTTGTAATGAATTTTATTCTTAAACCCATTTATGTGTCCAAATAAGTTGGCAATATTCTGCTGTTTTCCTTGTAGCTTCAAATTCAATTCGTTAAGGTGAGATGTCATGTCTGTTAAAAATGCAAGGTCTGCTAAAAATTGTGCATCTGCCATTTGATTTTCCAGTTCCGTAGTGTCGGACTTCACTTCATTTTTAAGGAAAATAGGAATTTCCTTGCGTAGATCGAAAAATCGTTGCAAACACTTTCCGGCGCTTAACCAACGAATATCGGTGTGAAGTAACAAGTCCCCATATGTAACATCCACTTCGGCCAAAAAATCACGAAACTTTCTGTGAGTCAAAGCAGGATTGCCCCCTCTAACAATATTAGTTATTTTAACAGCCACTTTCAAGACATTTATTTGACGTAAAGATTTTCCACATAAGCTCTCTTGGTGAACAATACAATGTATCATAGGACAGTTGATGCTGTTTGGTTTAAATAGTCCTGCAAATCCAATTTCAGTCCCTGTCATAGCTCTGGCGCCATCAGTGACAATACAGGAACATTTATCAAATCCCCCGTAGTCTGACACCAACTTATTCACAGCTTCAAAAATATCTGTACCCTTGGTTGTACCATGGAGAGGAATAAGGTCAAGCATCTCCTCTGCTCCACTGAAGTCGTCTTGAATAGTTCGGATAAAAATTACAAGCTGGCTAATGTCAGACAGATCAATGCTTTCATCCAGGCATGGCGAAAAATATTTACATTTTTCAACCACGTCACGCAATTTTTTGGATACATGTTCATTGATATGGTTCTGCAATTGTTTGATGCGATACTGAGACTGTTTCAAATTTTTTGGCAACTTTTAATTCATTGAATTGTTTCGCCATTTCTATTGCACACTTTTTGATAAGCACTCCATCACTAAAAGGTTTTTTTGCTTTGGCAATTTCCAGCGCTATTTTGTAAGAGGCGGCAATACTGCACTTGTTATCAGAGTCAGATTTTTTGAAAAAACTTGTTTGTTGTTTTAGTTTTTTCTTGTATTCCGTTATGATAGCCAGCCTCGAGTCCCCTGAATATTGCCGAAACGTTTTCTCGTGTAACGTAGTGTAATGTCGTTCCATATTATATTCTTTAGGAACCGATAGTACTTGCATACAAACAAGGCACTGAAGTTTATTATTATTGTTTGAGATTAAATATTCTGATTCCCAACGGTCATTATAAACTCGATGTTCGTTCGTTATTTTTCGTTTCTGTGAAGACATATTTCACGGAGTATTTCAGTTAAAAAGGCTTTAGAGTTGCTGTGTACTGAAACGCACTAGCACTAGAACAAAACTGCCTGTCCCGCTTCGGGGATGATCGAGAGATCGGTCCAATTTTCAGTAAATTCGCTGCGGCCTGCTATCGGTCGCCAGTGGCGTCACATGATAATCTATTTTATCATTAATGTAAGAATTGTGCATATTCGGTATTTGAGAGTAATTTATACATGTGATGTATACATGACCCGTGAAGCGGGCTGCAAGAAAGGAGTTCGCGGGCCGCATGCGGTTCGCGGGCCGTATGTTCGACAGCCCTGGTCTAGCCCATGCTATTAAATTGCATATTGGTAGTACAGCCAACCCCCTCTTCTTGTTTGCCTATTGAACGATTCCATTCTACGTTGTCTGAAAAACTAAGAATCTTAAAATTAAAATCGCCTACTGTACTAACTTCAGATTTAATTACCGATGCATTGCTTATTTATAACCAACGTATTCATTCTATTACTAGATTCGCCCCCTTCTATCTAATTTATGGTATCACCAAACAAGAAAATGACTCACAAATCTATGAAACTCATTTCGAAACTCAATGGAACAAACTCACGCCTATCCGCACTCATTGAAAATTCAGAAAACAACTTATCCAAAGCACGTGACAAGAATAACGCTAAACGCCCAAGTCAGATCCTATTCATATTAAACATTCAGGAAACCGATTTCGGGGTAAGGTTACTCCAATGTACCAGAAACGCACATTCGAAAAGATTTCAAAAAGATAAGACATAGTCAATGTAAAAAGCGCTAGGGTTTGCTAGAAAATGCTCTAGAGGACCTGAAACGACGCTTCAGCGTCCAATACCTGTTAACAAGACGTCTTAATCAAGATGTGATAGAAATTTTTTTCGGAGTAATTAGGCTAAAAGATGGTCTTCATGACCATACAAGTTTAAGTATAGAATAAGGTCATATATGTTGGGACGAAACGAAGGCGCATACTCACAGTACCTATTGCAGCGTAGAGTCAGAGGGTACTCCATACATTCCACTAACCACTAAAAGCATCATTCACGAGAATAAACTGAATGCACCTGAAGTATCAGTTGACTATACCGAGCAAGTTTTAGTGGAAGAAATAGATGAGCTCGAGTATGACATGCTGGAAAATTTAGCCGGCTTTGTTTGCAATAAATTGCAGGATGAGAGTTTGAAAAGTTCCTCAAATGAAACTTATTCATTTAAAGACCATCTTAGTGAGGGTGGATTATCAAAACCTTCAGCAACTTTCATGAATCAAATTGAGAAGCTGAACAAGGTATTCACTACATTCAATGGGGACGGAATAGTGACAAAAAAGCAGAATTTTATAGGTGAATTTCTGTTGAAGAGCAGCAACATTGAGTGCCTTGAAAAAGCTAAAAAACTGTTTTTCAGGTCAAGGATGTTCTTCAGGGTCAAAGAACTGAATAAAAGTTAAAAAAAACCAGAAAAATCGTAAAAGGAAATGGAAAAAAAATATTGCTTAGACTAAGTCATTTCCATTTATTGTTATACCACCACCTTACTGCAAAAAGAAGATAACTCCATTTTTATACTTTTCGAGTGGCGTATATTTTCACACTTACATGTATTTAGGATGTTCTGTGGAATAAGGGTGAATGTAGTACAGTATTATGACATGAACAGGTTAATCCTGCTCCGCAGAACATACTAAAATATAGGTAATGTGAAAATTTATCAAGCTGTTTGATCTGTAGTAGCCTATGAAGTAGGAATTACAAGGTTGAAATCTTTTATTAAAATCCACCATTTTGTTTTTCATAAAATCTCAATGTAGCTAGTGTCACTCAGACCGCTAAGAC